GGCATATATACGGTTTACTCTAGACTGTGACATTAGACATTGTTCAGATTGCACTTCTCTCAAAAAGTGAGGCATATGTCCGTTTTGCACTAGACTAGGACATTAGACATTGTCCAGTTTCCACTTCTGTCAAAAAGTGAGGCATATATACGGTTTACTCTACCCTGTGAAATTAGACATTGTTCAGATTGCACTTCTGTCAAAAAGTGAGGCATATGTCCGTTTTGCACTAGACTAGGACATTAGACATTGTCCAGTTTCCACTTCTGTCAAAAAGTGAGGTATATATACGGTTTACTCTAGACTCTGACATTAGACATTGTTCAGATTGCACTTCTGTCAAAAAAGTGAGGCATATGACCGTTTTGCACTAGACTAGGACATTAGACACTGTCCAGTTTCCACTTCTGTCAAAAAAAGTGAGGCATATATACGGTTTACTCTAGACTGTGACATTAGACATTGTTCAGATTTCACTTCTGTCAAAAGTGAGGCATATGACCGTTTTGCACTAGACTAGGACATTAGACACTGTCCAGTTTCCACTTCTGTCAAAAAGTGAGGCATATATACGGTTTACTCTAGACTGTGACATTAGACATTGTTCAGATTGCACTTCTGTCAAAAAGTGAGGCATATGTCCGTTTGGCACTAGACTAGGACATTAAACATTGTCCAGTTTCCACTTCTGTCAAAAAGTGAGGCATATATACGGTTTACTCTAGACTGTGACATTAGACATTGTCCAGTTTCCACTTCTGTCAAAAAGTGAGTCATATATACGGTTTACTCTAGACTGTGACATTAGACATTGTCCAGTTTGCACTTCTGCCAAAAAAAAAGGAGGCGTATATATGATTTGAACTGGAGCTAAAATTAGATTCACTTTAATTTTTTAAAAAAATCATTTCGCCCCAAGCAATACGATAATGCTGCTACGACACAAGGTATTACCGGAAGTGAAAGCAAATGAGAAGATTTTCGAAGGAAGCGGAAAGCCAATCCTAATTAGGGACAATGGATAAAGACTAGTCGTCTTCAATAGATGACGGAGGAGTGTAAACTGGGCGATAATTGATCCTATCTAATTCTATAAACTTGAGAACAGAATACATTCTAATAATGAAATTGATTAACAGAATACGTTCTAATAATGTAACTGATCAACAGAATACATTCTAATAATGTAACTGATTAACATAATACGTTCTAATAATGTAACTGTTTAACAGAATATGCTTTAATAATGAAACTGATTAACAGAATACGTTCTCATAACAAAATTGCTTAACAGAATATAATTGATTAACATAATGTTTCCACGAGAATTTAAATCTGCTTAAGTTGTCTGTTTTACTATATGTTAATTGATAAAGATTTAATTTTTTTCTTTACAAACACTACATATCAAATATACACTGAGATTCTAAAAAAAATATTTTTACTATTTTAAAAATGTTACTCTTGAATAAATATTTAATTATCTAAGTTGTTTTTTTTTAAACACGTTCTTTTGAGAGAAGTCTATTTTTAGGAAGGTCAGACGGTAAAATCTTTGTGAATTTATTTTTTAGCAAACTTTGTATTTGTACCGTTTTCGTAATTGTGTAATAAATGTGCTTTCCTTTTAAAATTTTACGCAGTTGTCGAGTCTTGGTTTGTGATTTGCACCAATCATGGCTTGCCATTCCTGTTAAGTACGTTTTTGTGTTTGACACAAGAACTTAGATTTTGTAGGGAATCCAATTTTTATAGAATCCATTATACTTTTATTTACAATCACACACACACACACACGAAGATATGTGTTCATTCTAGTCACATCTGATTTCGCTAATTTTCACTTGTATGGTGTCCAAACGGGTCACATGGGTTGTCTAGCTATTCATAAATGCAAAATTATGTTTGCAAATTGAGTCTCTAGGCACTTTTATCTCCCGGTCCAGATTTACATAAAATCTGATATCTTCAGCACAAACCCAGGCATCAAACATCATTAGAAATTAAAAAGTTTCAAAAAAAAAAAAAAAATGAAGAAGAAATTCCATCAGGAATTTATTACTGTATCTCATATTGCATACGTGATGAACAACTAATTTCTGCAATTGCTGATACACACCCAAAAAACAACATGATACACTTTTTGCTTAGAGTAATAAAAGACAAAAAAAAAAAAAGCCATGACTGTACACGTCCTAAAAAGAAATGGTACATAAAATTAGAATTGTCGATATTTCTGAGATGAGGGATTGTAACGATTTACACTATTTACATTATTCGGACTGTTGTCCTCATCTTTGTTGCCATATTCATGACGTTTCGGCCGTTGTACGCTCCGGTCTTCTTCAGGATCTGTCTATATTTCTGAAATGAGGTATTGTAACGATTTACACTATTTACATTGTTCGGACTGTTGTCCTCACCTTTGTTGCCATATTCATGACGTTTCGGTGTTGTACGCTCCGGTCTTCTTCAGGATCTGTCTATATTTCTGAAATGAGGTATTGTAACGATTTACATTATTTACATTGTTCGGACTGTTGGCCTCACCTTTGTTGACATATTCATGACGTTTCGGTCGTTGTACGCTCCATTCTTTTTCAGGATCTGTCTATATTTCTGAGATGAGGGATTGTAACGATTTACACTATTTACATTGCTCGGATTGTTTCCCTCATCTTTGTTGCCATATTCATGATGTTTCGGCCATGTACGCTCTGGACTTCTTCAGGATCTGTCTATATTTCTGAGATGAGGGATTGTAACGATTTACACTATTTACATTGTTCGGACCGTTGTCCTCGTCGTTGTTGCAATATTCATGACATTTCGGCCGTTGTACGCTCCGGTCTTCTTCAGGATCGGTCTATATTTCTGAGATGAGGTATTGTAACTATTTACACTATTTACATTGTTCGGACTGTTGTCCCCATCTTTATTGTTATATTCGCTACGTTTCGGCTTTGTACGCTACGACCTTCTTCTTACTACTTACTTCACAAAAAAAACTCTCCACAATCATACTTAGTTACCTCCCCTTAAACGGTGTCAGCGATCATGCACTGACTTAGCGTCCTTCACACCACATGTAAGAAACTTAACTTTCTGATGACAATAATGAACACTACAATATTTGTCTAACAATAAACAATACCCTGATGATGATACTGCGCTTTGTCGAAAGTACTCGGAATAAAAGTAATATGTAGCAACGCTGTGATTTTATCTCGTCCTTCAATAACGACACCAAAAAGCTTATCCGTGAATATGAAAGGTTTTGTTTTCGTTTGGTTTGGTTCGTTTTACGGCATACCAACCTCAATGGGTTACTTAATGCCGACAAAATTTTTATTGCTGGTAATATGTTTTTCTCCAAATATCTATTTCTGGGAATATTTTTCCTAGAAGAAATCTATAGCTGCTCATATTTTTTTCAAAAAATGTATAGCTGTTTGTATTGCTGGTACATTTTTGTTAGAGTCTTGCTGATAATCTTTCATTCAAAAATTATTGCTGGTAATATTTTTTTTCATTACGAAATATTTCTGGTATTAAAAACTATTTTTACACAAGTTTGGGTGTCAACAATTTGCCCATAGCTGGGACCCTAACAGGTGCTACCACCCCGGGTCAGGGTGGACATGGGGACGCCAATAATTAAGAGGTGGTTCCACGCTCCTCAAAACCACCTGGTCAGAGGCCTAGCAGTTGGACGTAGTTTATCGTCTTACCCAGAACGCGGATGTAGTTTATCGTCTTACCCAGGACACGGACGTCGTTTATCATCATATCCAGGACGGGAATATGGAAGGATCCAATTGAAAATAAGTAGACAGAACATGTCTAAATTATTCAGCGAAATATGTTTCTATCGCTTTCTCCCTCCCCCCCCTCTCTCTCTCTCTCTCTATATATATATATATAGTTGAATTATATTTTAGTAATAGCATTTTCCTGAATTATATTTTAGTTGAATATTTGTCAATATAAATATATATATATATATATATATATATATATATATATATATATATATATATATATACTGTTCAACTAAAATATAATTCAACTAAATGTCATTTATCAGTATATATATATATATATATATATATATATATATATGTGTGTGTGTGTGAAAAGTGTGTGTATATAAATATAAATATAATTATTTATATATTATATGCGCGGTACGTATTAGAAAGCGCTCAATATCAGAGATAGAGCTAACATATTTGGTTGGATAGATCTATACAACCATATATATATATATATATATATATATATATATATATACATATATACATATATACATATATATATATATATATACACTGATAAACATTCAACTAAAATAAATTGTTCCTAGGAAACTTGGATCGCTGTGTCATGCTACATTTTTTCCTGGCAAAATCTATTTTATACATTTATAATTCTAACATTTGTTGATGCTTGATTTGGTTTTATGGGTTATCAACCTCTTGCAGTTTATTTAAGACAAGAAAATATTTTTATATTGTAAGAATTCTTTTTTTTTTTCTGGAGATTATAATCGTTTTACTAATTAACCCACGGCTGGGAGTTAAATTTAAACCTGATAAGAATTTGATAAAACAAACAAGAAATTATAATGCGGATATACTTGTTCTGGATTTACATAAACTGCATAAGGTTGATAAGCCGTAAAATACGATTCAGTCAATCAATGAAATACTGATTAGCTACACAGGCATGTCTTTGAGATTTATTTCCATTCTCTGGAATAGAAATGTATAGAAACTACCTTGGCCACAAATTGAGGGATCATTTTACATATTGATTTTAATATAGAATTGGTCCCCCACTTTATATCCACATTATAATTTCATAAACTGCATAAGGTTGATAAGCCGTAAAATACGATTCAGTCAATCAATGATTAGCTACACAGGCATGTCTTTGATTTATTATGGCAGTGAAATGTGGACAATCTCTCCGCGGATTAGGAGAGAACCTAGAGCCATCGGACATACCACGTTGAAACACCGGCCCCCGTACGATTACCGAGATTAAGCAACCTCGAGGCTGGTCAGTACTTAGATGGGTGACCGCCTGGATGTGCGGGTAGTGTAAGGGATAACTGCACAGGAGTGTCGAGAGAGCCGAGTTCCAATTCGAGTTGGTTTTGCTATCTTCGCTTACACACAAATACCATTGGAAAATGTAGGAATCCATCTCTTCTCCCCCATGTATGGGTTAATTAGTATGACTTGTATCACTAAGCAATTATTATCTCCTCCCAATTTTTTTACAATTTAAAGATATTGTCTAACTTTAAATGACCCCCAAAGTGTTGATAAGCCGTAGAAAACGAATCAATCAATGAAATACTGATTAGCTAGATTTATTTACATTCTCTGTAATATGAATGTATAGGAACTAACGTGGCCACAAAGTGAGGGATCAGTTGATGTACTGATTTTAATATAGAATTGATCCCTGACTTTATATACACATTATAATTTCTTGTATGTTGATAAGCTGTATAAAACGAATCAATCAATCAATGAAATACTGATTTGCTACACAGGCACGTCTTTTAGATTTATTTCCATTCTCTGGAATATAAATGTGTAGAAACTATCGGGGCCACAAAATGAGGGATCAGTTTATATATTGATTTTAATATAGAATTGGTCCCCCACTTTATTTCCATATTATAATTTGTTGATAAGCCTTCGAACAGGAATCAATCAGTTAATGAAATACTGATTAGCTACACAGGCATGTCTTTTAGATTTATTTACATTCTCTGGGATATGAATGTATAGAAACTAACGTGGCCACAAAGTGAGGGATCATTTGATATACTGATTTTAATATAGAATTGGTCCCTGACTTTATATACACATTATAATTTCTTGTATGTTGATAAGCCGTATAAAACGAATCAATCAATCAATCAATGAAATACTGATTAGCTACACAGGCATGTTTTTTAGATTTATTTCCATTCTCTGTAATAGAAATGTATAGAAACTACCGTGGCCACAAAGTGAGGGATCAGTTTATATCCTGATTTTTTTTTTTTACATCCACATTATAATTTCTTGTTTGTTTATCAAATTCTGATCAGGTATGAATCCACCTTTTCACTTCCCAGAATAAAATGATTATTACCTCCGAAAAATAAAATAAAAAAATTCTTACAATCTAAAAATATTTTCATGTTTTAAATAAACTGCAAAAGGGTTGATAAGCCGTAGAAAATAAATGAATCAATCAATAACCCTATATTGAGTGGTTCTTGAGCCTTGCATTGTAGAAACGTTCGTATTCAAAACATATCACAAACTTTTCCAAAATAAAGGTATTTCTAGCACTTTCTGAATGATTGTAATGTTTTTAGTTCAGTTTCAATTTTAATTAATTATTATATTATAATATAAAAATGACTTACCGTTTTTTATCTTTCTTTCTAGGTAAGTCTCTATCTGGAAATGCAGTGTGAATGCTTGCGTCTCTATGTAAGTATGTACATAGCATAAAAAATTACTTGTAAGAGTCTGCTTCTTTTTTATTTGTTACTTTTTTCGCTTCATCTAAGATGAAGTTTCCAAAAAAAAAAAAATTGCCCTGAAATTTATATGCAGAGTTGAGGACTCCCTGAGTGTAATTTTCTTCCCGAGTCTCATTTCATCCCTGCTGCAATACCCACAGGACCAACCTGTGATGTTTATACTACAACTATAATGAGCAGACCTTAGTTACAGTTTCTGGGAGAGTGCGCAATATCTGGTGTGATCATTAGTCTGAACAAGGCCACATTGCTCAAACCCTAAGTTTGTGCTCACTTTGCCCTTGCACAACCATCGGCCACTCCTAAATAATTCTGTCTACCCACTTTCACTCACAACGCTTTAATCAATCTGTGGTGTGCTTTTCGAGCATTTTCCAAACGTGCCGCATGTTGTAATTCCCTACTTAAACCAATAATATCCTGACAAATCGGCCAAGGTGAGAATCGAACCAGGGTCTCGTGGTCGGAAAGTTAACGTTCTGACCACCGTCATGACATCCAGTCATATAAGGTTATACCGTGCATGTGCATTACAGTGAAACGTGTGTGATATGGTGGCAGAGATCCAATTACCTGAAGAATGCCGGAGCGTACAACGGCCGAAGCGTTGTAAATATGGCAATGATGATGAGGATAACAGTCTGAATAATGTAAATAATGTAAGTAATCATAATACTTCATCTCAGAGATATAGACAGATATTGAAGAATCGATACGGATCCGATATACCAAAAATATGGAGACAACTAGAGAGGTCTCAGTAGAAGCTACATTGTGAATATGGCAATGAAGATGAGGATAACAGTCCGAATAATGTAAATAATGTAAGTAATCATAATACCTCATCTCAGAGATATAGACAGATATTGAAGAATCGATACGGATCCGATATACCAAAAATATGGAGACAACTAGAGAGGTCTCAGTAGAAGCTACATTGTGAATATGGCAATGATGATGAGGATAACAGTCTGAATAATGTAAATAATGCAAGTCATCATAATACCTCATCACAGAGATATAGACAGATATTGAAGAATCGATACAGACCCGATATACCAAAAATATGGAGACAATTAGAAAAGTCTCAGTAGAAGCTACATTGTGAATATGGCAATGAAGATGAGGATAACAGTCTGAATAATGTAAATAATGTAAGTAATCATAATACCTCATCTTATAGATATAGACAGAATAAACCTTATACACTGGCGATGTTTCATCCCCATCGGAACCAATAAAAACATGAGAAAAAGAGGTCCAACAGCAAGAAAGAAAAACTTGACAACCTCGTCCTTCACAAATATTACTATGCAGTCAGTCCCATCGGCTCTTCCTTGCAAAAATTGGTCTGTGTGGTATGGTGGCAGGTTTTGATAAAATCAGCTTATAACATTGCAGGTGTGGCCCAGTTAGAAATATCTTCAGGTAGAGTAACCCAGTCTGCACAGACAATTTCTAATTGAGCGTATTTGCAATTATTTAGATGCGACTTCCAAGTCACCTTGTCTGCCTCATCCTTGAAGCTAAAGAAAAACATGAACCGGACTGGATGTGGTAAAATTTTAGAATAATGCAATGATAAAAATTTAAATTTCATCTCTCTGATAGATGCCGCGATCTGTTAAGACAAAATGTATGACATTTAGTCAAGACTATCTTATAATATTCACAGCTGGCAATATGGTGACGCCGAGACAAAGAGATAGAAGCTTATAAACGACACATTTCGCCGACGGGTCTTGGGTTTGGCTTCTTTGGGTCGGATTGAAAGACAAAACTGTGTGTAAGAAAAATGCTTCAGGATTTTTTCAGAATAAGAGGGACAATAAATTAAATTGCCTTATCAAATAAAAGGGTTCGTTTCGAAATTCCAATCAGCTGAAGAAAGCATACAACGACCGAAACGTTGTGAATATGACAATGAAGATGAGGATAACAGACCGAATAATGTAAATAATGCAAGTAATCTTAATACCTCATCTCAGAGATATGGAGACCGAAACGTTGTGAACTTAGCAATGAAGATAAGGATAAGAGTCTGAATAATGTAAATAATGCAAGTAATCATAATACCTCATCTCAGAGATATAGAGGCCGAAACGTTGTGAATATAGCAATGAAGATAAGGATAACAGTCCGAATAATGTAAATAATGCAAGTAACAATAATACCTCATCTTATAGATATAGACAGAATATACCTTATACACTGGTGGTGTTTCATCACCATCGGAACCAATAAAATCATGAGAAAAAGAGGTCCAACGGCTAGAGAGAAAAACTTGACAACCTGGTCCTCAACCAACATTACCATGCAGTCAGTGCCATCGGCTCTTCCCTGCAAAAATTGGTCTACTTAGTCATCAACGCCATCATCACAAAGGAAGCGATCATAAAAGAAGACATTAATTTCTTAGATACGACATCAATCCGACGACGACAATTAGTAGGTCTTTTGGTTAAATGGAAGCATGATGAGCATGATATCGGAACCTTCGGACACACCTGTGACCTTCTCAATGAGACAAAAAATAAAAAATAAACAAGGACTTTATTTTTAATTGTGGTGGATGCTAAGTGACATAATTTAATATCTGTTGCGAGCCGGTGTACGCTTGTGTCTCCTGAGATGCCCACAACAAACATGACCGACTCGGAATATGAGCCAACCTAAAGAGATGTCATGAAACATCAAGAACCGATATATAATTGTTGTTTCATTAAGACTGTTCAAAGTCAGCAGTAAATAAATCAGTGTTGTTGGAGAAAATTTATTTATTTCTCTATTGGATCATGTTATTTAAGTTATGGCAATTATGTGTGAAAAATAATATCGTCCAAATTTCCGCCAAGGCTTCAGAGGTATACTTCCACTCGATGGTCAAAATTTTTGATGACGTTTCTGTATATGTCTTGTTCCTCGATCTCACCAATATGCCTTATTATCTCATCCTCCAGCTGTTGAATTGTTGTTGGCTTGTTGGCATAGACCTTACTTTTGAGATGACCCCAAAGGAAGAAATCTAAAGGCGTCAAGTCGCACGATCGTTGTGGCCAACTGACTTCGGTGTTTCGAGAAATGATCCGACCTGGGAACTTCTCGTTGCATTTCTGTTTGAAGTTCCATTTTTGTAATAGGTTTGGATAACTTTAACACGTTTGATTGTTAATCTTTCCAGGGTTAAAATTGCCAAAGACTTAAGTTGTTAAATCTGAAAGAAAAAGAAAAAATCTTTAGAAGCTTAAAATTAATTTACATTTAAAATCGATCCAATTTATTGGAACATCCTATACATAAGTAAAGGCCAAATGTACTGTCTATAGTACTATTTTATTGTTGACTCCATTTGGTTACAGTGAGTAAAGTGGGCCGTAAATTTATAAATTTGAATTCCCATTTTCGTAATAAGCTTCGATAACTTTAACACGTTGTTTGATTATTAATATTTCCATGGTTGAACTTGTCAAAAACTTAAGTTAAAAATTAAATCTGAAAGGAAAAGAAATAAAATCATTAGACGCTTAAACTTAATTCACATTTAAAATCGA